ATATATTCGTCTGATTCAAGTTTCTTTGCACCAATCAATTTCTGTTAATGTGTTTTACTTGTATACAGAATTAGAGATAGCAGTGCTGAAATAAATATTTTTCGAAATAATGCACGTAAGTGAGGGTCGATTTGTAACTTGAATAATTGAGGTTCATTTTGATTATCGTGTATTTCGGAAACTATTCGTCTGTTTGGAGTTTTCTTTGCATCAATCAATTTCTTTAAATGTGATTATCATGTATACAGAATAAAAGATAGCAGAGCTGAAATTATAATTTTTCCAAATTTGGGACGTAAGAAGGGTTGTTTTGTAACTGGAACAATTGAGGTTCATTTAGTTTCTCGTCTATCTCGGAATCTATTCGTCTGATTTGAGTTTGCTTTGCACCAATTAATTTCTTTTAATGTGTTTAACTTGTATACCGAAATAGAGATAGCAGTGCCGAAATTAGTATTTTTCGAAATTTGGCACGTAATGTTGGTCGTTTTGTAACTTGAACAATATACGTTCATTTTTTTCTCGTCTATCTCGGAAAATATTCATCTGATTGGAGTTTGCTTTGCACCAATCAATTTTTTTTAATGTGTTTTACTTGTATACAGAATTAGAGATAGCAGTGCTGAAATTAATATTTTTCGTAATTTGGTACGTAACGTTGGTCGTTTTGTAACTTGATCAATTGATGTTCATTAAGTTTTTCGTCTATCTCAGAATTATTTCGTCTGATTGGAGTTTGCTTTGCACCTCTGAATATCTATTAAAATGTTCTACTTTTTAACAGAATTTTAGAAAGCAGCGGTGAAATAAATACTTTTCCAAAAATGACACGTAATGTGGAGGTTATTTTGTAATATCAGTTGAGGTTTCTATTGTTTTTCGTATATATCGTAAATTATTTGTCTGATTTGATTTTACTTTGCACCTTTTAATTTCTATTTAAGTGTTTTACTTGTATGCAGAATTTCAGATAGCAGCGGTGAATGTTATATTTTTCAAAATTTGGCACGTAATGGGGGTATTTTGTAACATGATCATTTGTGTTCCTTTTTTTTCTCGTCTATCTCGTAATTTATTCGTTTGATTGGATTTTGCTTTGAACCTCTGAGTTTATCTTTAAGTGTTCTACTTGTATGCAGAATTTCAGATAGCAGCGGTGTAATTAGTTTTTTTTCAAAGTTGGGACGTAATGGGGGGGGTATTTTGTAACTAGATCAGTTGAGGCTCGTTTTTTTCTCGTCTAACTCGTAAAATAATCGTTTGATTTGATTTTACTTTTAATTATACTTTACTGAATTTCTCTTAAAGTGTTCTACTTGTATACAGAATTTTAGAAAGCAGCTGTAAAATTAAAATTTTTCCAAATTTTGCACGTAACAGGGGGGGTGTTTGGTAACTTGATCAGTTGAGGTTCTTTTTGTTTTCGTCTATCTCGTAAACTATATGACTGAATGGATCTTTCTTTGCACCTCCAAAATTCTCTTAAAGTGTTCTACTTGTATGCAGAATAAAAGATAGCAGCGGTGAAATAATACTTTTTTCAAATTTGTCACTTGGTGGGTATTTTGTAACTTACTCAGTGTATGTTCCTTTTGTTTCTCGTGTATTTTGTAAAATATTCGTCTGATTGGTTTTTTTTCTTAGCACTACTGAATTTCTCTTAAAGTGTTCTACTTGTATGCGGAATTTTAGATTGCGACGGTTATATAT